GCAGAATAGGGTTTCTGAAAGTGACATTTTCTGCCACAGGAATTAGCATGGGCACTGTACATAAGGATACACCTGCGTCCAAATCAAAAGTTGTAGATCCAGGCAACTGGAGGAAACTCTGAAGGACTGACATGGTGGCATGGTGCTTTGTAACAACCAAATTGATCAGTGAGGTACAGATGGTTGAGCATAATGCACCAGAGAGGTGAGTGATATTCTGCCTCTGAAAATTCACATCATGGACCCAGATTTTTGTTTGTTTTTAATATTATAAGTGCTTGTTATGTATTCCAAATTCTATAACTTCACTCGCCATTTTTATTCTTCCTATGCATTCCTTACAAATATCAGACTTTGTGAGCCCAGAAGTCTTTAAGTCTGGCTCATCAGCACCTGCCTTCAGTGTTGTTCCCTCCCTCCTGTAGGGAGAAGTATGGTGATTTTGGCCACTCAGAGCCAGCCTTAAAGGGCACAGAGTAGCTCTGGTCTGTGACTTGAGGGCAGAGTCCAGGACATCCCTGCCCTCAACTGCAGTGGAATGCATTCCTTAGATGAAGCAAGGGAGTTCCATACACTCCACAATGAAGTTGCAACCACACTAGTATTGCCTGGAGCAATACTAGGTAAACCAGAATTATTGTATCTGTTTAGCTCTGAAGGAAGAAAAAGAAAGAGAGATCCATCTTGATGTCTTCATTTGAAGGGAGTCGGAGGGCTGGGGCTGTGTGTATGTGGGCAGAGTGAGGAGGTTAAGAAGACTTGTCTCCAGGTAAATCAACCGTTGACCCCACCACTGTCTACACCAGTCTCTGAGAGCCCTGTGTGGAGAAAGTGTGAGAGATAAGAGGCCATGAAAAATGCCCATTGTGTGTATTTGCTCACTCTTTCATGTTATGGCAGGATAAGGAGGAATACACTCACATGGTGCAATTAAATCACCAAGTCAAATTTTCCGAATGCCTCCATTTCCTCCCCGTAGACCATCCATGCTCCATACTCTTAGAGGACTCCTCATGGGCAGCTGTCACAGCACCAGGCATCAGGACTGACCACTCCAGAGGGCGTGTCATAGTCTGCTCCACTGGCTCCTGTTGAAACCTGGTCTTCCAAAGTACCCTGGCCTGTGATTTTCAACAATTCACAATTCAGTCATCATTAGTGCCACCGATGAATCTGATAGATGCAAAAAGCCCTTTCCAGATGACATTCAAATATTTACATCTGCAATGGGGTAACATTTTGATAGGGAAACAACAGATTCTTTTTCCATAGCACTTCTACACATCCTTCAAACTGACCCCCATTGAGACATCACCCAGGGTATGTTGTATGTACTACGCACAGCAGAGCAGAGAGAGATTGCATTTCACAATCTACTTTTAAAGTCTCAAAACTAAACATCTGAAACTCCAGTCTGAGATGAAAGCATTTTGAGTTTGAAAAGTTGGGCCCTGAGAAACAATATGTGCTCATTTCAAGTCAATTTTTCTTACCCTGAAGAGTAGATTCAGTTTTCCTGGGCTAGGGGAGCATTGAAAGAATGTCAGAGAAGAAAAGGGGACATGTGGAGTCATGAGACTCTTAGCAAGACCCCAGGGCATTCCCCTACAAGCCAGGGCCCTGGAAGAGAGGACAGGTGGAGATGGCCACAGGACAGGGCAGAATCCAGATGACTCAGGGAATCTAGGAGCGTAGGGGTCCCCACTGACTTGGAAGATCTCTGAGTGCCCCACCCCACCCCATCCCAGTACAGACATGGCCTTGGCTAATGGACACACACAGTTTCACGGAGCTCCCTTGCACTCCAAAGTCACCTGGGAAGCAGTAAAATAATTTCCCAGGTGTCAGGAGTAGCACAGGAGTGCACCTCAATCCCACCCAGCTTCCTGTGGCTGCAGAGTGGCATGGGTTTCAGTGGGCTACTTCTGTGTCCCTAAGAACGGCCCAAAGTAGCTGGGAGAAGGTTGGACTGAAGGGTCCTTGCAGTCAGAAGTGAGGGGTGTCTGAGCAGCAATCTGCCCTCACCAGTGACCAGCTGTGAAGATGCACCCCTCAGGGGATGGCAGACAGACGACATGACAGAGAACACCCATCCCCACTCACACCTGAGGCCATAGCACCAAGGAACCACCCCCAAAACAGGCACAACCCAGAGGGAGATGGGAAAAGGTATGTGTGGGAAGGGGGAGGTGTGAATTGCCTGATATTTCATTTCTGCCATTGATGGAAGAGGGCTTACAAAATAATGTCATATAAACAGAAAGCCACGTTTCTTGAAAACTTAGTGATTCGTGCCCTGCTACTTTCTTTTATTTATCCTTTAAAGCAAATTTTAAGCACATAAGAAGCAGAGATACAGTTGGGAGAAAGCTTTATTACCAAGGCTTTAAAGTACAAATAGATGTAATCCTACCCCTAGTTGAAAAATTGTGCATGCCATTAATGAGTGACTATTTTACTGCTATGGAAACTGCAAAAAAAAAAAAAAAAAAAAAAACAAGGACACATAAAATTGCTGAAGTTTTTTATTCCTATGATAAAAACATAAATGAAAATAATAAATCCATTAGACTTTCAAACCACAATAATAATGTTGAGAACAATTTTCTTCTTCTGTACCTGTAAAACTCCAGATAGAAATGATCTCATCTAAAGGAATTGGAGATAACAATTCATGCCCTTTGATGTGCAGCTTGGTATGAGTGTGGAGGCTCAGAAAGGAATTTCCATGAAAGCAAATCTTGAGTTGAGAAGAATTGGGTTAGATCAAAGCCATCCACTCTATGTGAGAAAGGATCCCTTTTGAGAGGCCCACAAAACAGTAGCCAATTATGAGAAAACAATAGTGGACATAAATTGAATGACTGAGTACATGTCTTAGTCACATAATTCCTGCAGTGCCCCCCTGTGAGAGGCCTGGATCAGGCCTCTATTTATTACATGACCTCCAGTTATTTCCATTCTAGCAGGGGAGCCACGATGATATTTCAGGTCCCCAGGTGTCAATGTCACCTCAAAACTGCCCCTGCACCTTTATATTTTCTACAGACTCGTATCCCATGGGCCTGGCCCGGGTCACAGCCTGTGTGCCAGGTTCTGGGGCTCAGAGACTGGGAATGTCTAAATCTCCTGGCTTCTGCTAGTGAAAGCAAGTCCCTCCTCTCCCACTGACAGTCTAGCAAAGTCTCCGTCGCAGTCAACTTGGGCTACTACAACAAAACACCATGTGCTGGAGGTGCTTCAACAATAGACATGCATTTCTCACAGTTCTGGAGGCTGGAAGACCACGATCAGTGTGACAACATGGTCAGGTTCTGGTAGGGACTTGCTTCCTGGCTCGTAGATGGCCACCTTCTCACTGTGTCCTCACATGGAGGAAAGAGAGCAAGGTCTCTGGTGTCTCTTCTCATAAGGGCATTAATTCCATCATGGGGCTTGACCCTCATGACCTCATCTAAACCTAATCCCTCTCAAAGGCCTCACTTCCTAATACTATCACATTGGGGGTTTAGGGCTTCAACATCTGAATTTTTGTGGGGCAAACACTCAGTCTATAACAATCTCCAAGTATAGGAAAGGGTTTCGTTTGACCAGCAGTGACAAAAACAAACAGGAAAGACTTCAATTCTCTCTCCCACAGCAGGGGATGGCACAAGATGCTGCGTAGTGGGAAGGTTGAGATAGTTAGAAATGTTGGGAATGGGGTAGCTGTTGGAAATTTTGGAAGTTTGGGGAACATTGGGAGTGTTGGGAATGTTGGAAGTGTTGGGGGTGTTGGAAGCTCTGAGAATGTCTGAAACTTGGGGAATACTAGGAGTGTTGGGGGTGTTGGGAGTGTTGAGAATGTTGGGAATTTGGGGACTATTGGGAGTGTTGGGAACGTTGGGAGTGTGAGGAATATAGCCTCTAATCCTCACATAGGGTTCAGGTTGCCAGTAATGGTGGCACCTCTGTCACCAGGAAATACCTCGATAGCTAAAGAGGCCTCAGTTGCAGGCTTATCCTCTCTTCCAGCTCCCTCATGACTGAGACCCAAGGTACAAGTGGGTATTTCCCATTTCCTGACACAGGATGAGCTCTCACTTCCAGACCTTTGTACATGCTTCTCCCTCGTCCTAACACACCCTCCCCCTGTTTGTTTTCCTGGCAAATTTTCACTCACTGTGCAGGTCTGGTTCAAATTTCACCTTGTGAAGACTTCCATGCCACCCTAGGCAGTGAGAACATCGATATTTAGCAACTTACTTTAGTACTTACCTCTAATATTTTATTATAATTATGGTCTGATTTCTTTAAGAGCTGGGCATTTGCTTTACATTTCAACCTATGGCAGATGCTGCCAGTGCCCTGTGTGTGCCAAAGATTGCTTGCTGCACGTGCCAGAGATTCTTTGCCTGAGGACGTGTGTTCTCATGTTGGGAGTGTACTTGGACCCACTCGCAGGACAAGCCAGAAACGGCAGAATGTGAATACCCTGCAGCAGCCCTCAACCAGAGAAGTTGGTGGGGATTTGGGAGTGAGCACCCAACTCCCCAACCTCCGTTGGGATGACTTTGAGCATGCTCATAGCCTTATCTCACAGTTGACCTCTGGGGACTCCAACTAATACATGTCCCAGAGCTTCGCTTAGTGCCTGACTTCCATTAGGTTCTTCTTCTTCTTCTTTTTTTTTTTTTTTTTTTGGAGGAAGGTCAGCCCTGAGCTAACTACTGCCAGTCCTCCTCTTTTTGCTGAGGAAGACTGGCCCTGAGCTAATGTCCATGCCCATCTTCCTCTATTTTATATGTGGGATGCCTACCACAGCAGGGCTTTTTGCCAAGTAATGCCATGTCCGCACCTGGGATCCAAACTGGCGAACCCCGGGCCACCGAGAAGCCGAACGTGTGAACTTAACCACTCCACCACCGGGCTGTCCCCCATTAGATTCTTAATAAAAGTGTGACAAATAAAATTAGCCCTGATGTTGATAAGAAATTCATTCATTTATTCATGTGTGCAAAGAACATTTCTGGAGGACTTAATCAGGTTTTAGGCACTGTGCTAGATACAACATGATATACTGAATCATCGTTTCAAGGAATCTAAAACCTAATACAAGAGATAATATATGCAAATGCATAATCTTACTAGTTATTGACTTTAGTCTAACAAATTATCCTCAAATTTAGCAGCTTAAACAGCAAACATTTAACTCACACAGTTTCTCGGGGTCAGGATCCAGGTGGGGCTTGGCTGGGTGCTTCCAGCTCAGGAACTCCCATGGGGTTTCAGTCAGGCTGTTATTTGAGGATGGATCATCTAAAGGCTTGACTGAGGCTAGGGCATCAACTCCCAAGGAAGCCACTCACATGGCTGGCAAGCTAGAGCTGGCTGTTAGAAAGAGGCTTAGTTTTTCATGAGACTCTATAGTTTGCACATAGGATTCTAAGTAACCAGGAAAGAAATGGCTCTTGACTCTCAGCTTTGCTGAGTCACCCTTTGGTACCTTGAGTTCAGCAAGCACAATGAGCAGCATTTTACATCTTTCCCTGGCTGATCACTAACAAGGAGGTTAAAAATTCCCTACACAGGTAGAAGAGAAAGTTAGAGATGCAGAACCTTCCACTCCTCACTTCCTGGGGAAGTTAGGATTCCTTGGAGAGGCAGAGAGGAGCCCTCCTGGCACCCCATCCTTGCTGTGCCAGCTCAGAGCCCAGAACACAGCTGATAACTTGGGCAGTAAACAGTCGAAAGTGGCTGAGAATGTGGGTGCTGACTTGACTTTGTGTGAAGTTATTTAAGCTCTCCCTGTCTTAGTTTCCTCATTTGCAAATTGGGGATGATAATTACAGCTACTCCATGAAGTTGACTGGAAATGAAATGGATTAATAGTCTGGAGCACTGAGTGCCTGACACACAGAAAACACTAGACACAGATGACTTTTCCTTTTTTCCTGCTGGCCCTTTTGCTTTCAGGCAGAGTTCTGTTGCTTCTGCGATGGCTCATTCAGATAGAGATGCCTTGAAAACATATATCAAAAATTGAATCCCAAATATTGATAAAATATAAATATAGTAATCAACGTTAGGGCCTTCCTGGTGAGGAACTTGTATTTGGGGAGCAAAATTCATTTGCATAAATCAAAGGCAGAAACACACAAAGGGATATGTGAGGAGCACTGAGTTGGTGTGGTTTGCACCACACCTGCGTCATCACAGAAGGAGTGGAGACCGACCTGTGGTTTGGTTTGGAAACTAATTTTTACCACGACCTCAAATGAAGCACTGGAGGGAGGGGTTGGGTTTCCCAGAGGAAGGGGCACCACCCAGTGGCCTGCAGAGCTGTCCCATATTGTTTCTCTCCAACATACATCAAATGGGTCATGACTCAACTCAGTAAAATTTACTCAGGCCCAAGGTACCTACCAAGGTATTTTACTCGATTTTGAAGGACACATAAAGGTGGGGACGGTGTGTGCCATAATGATTGTGCTTTTGGGTAGAGGAAGTGGGATGCACACAAACCTGCAGCAGTATGGCAGGCCCTCATGTGAGGTGGACGTGATCAAGTGAGAGAGAATAGAATGCTCCCTGGGATCAGAAGCTGGGTGCCTGGCTGAGGTACTTCTTTGGTGTTGCAGTACTGGTGACAGAGCACAGAGACCTGTCAATGTTGTTTTAGGCACAGGAATAGCGTGGACAGTAGTGCAGAGGGAAAGGAGTTATCAGGACTGTCTGAATCCCCCTTCTCAGGAAGGAAGCTGGGATGACTGCCCCAGGGAGGCTCCTCTAGTGCTCAGCAGGGTTCTGGTGCTTGAGTATCTTCCTTGAGGCTACAGAGATATCGAAATCAAAGGGGTTCTTGAATCAAATGTCTAGCCCACCTCAAGCTGGGACTAGGGGTGGATGAACAGCAAGGCTGATCTGAGCTGAGCCAGTGGCTGAGTCAGATATCTAGAAGGCTGGCAGGCAGCCTTCTGGAGTGGGCAGGCAGCAAAAAGGAGAGCAGGAAGCTAGCTGTCCAAGAGTAAAAGCCAGAGAATCATTTTAGTGTAGTCCAGGGAGGAGATCTCTTGTCTTGGCTTGCTGGTGCGTGGATGGCAGGCTGTGAAGAAACAGTGGAGCCAGGAGAGAGTGTTGGGTACAGCTGGGGAGACATATTGAAACAGGTGAGTGGAGGGTGTGGTTTGAGCCTACAGGGGCCCTAGGGATTTTAGGAATTAGGGTGGCTTTGGTGGGATCAGAGGGGACTTTGGTGTCGTTGCTTTAAGGTCACCATGCGGGGAAGACCCCAAGGACTAGAATAGGACTGTGGTCAGGAGACTGATGGAGGAGGAGAGTCAAGAGGAGCATCCTGAGGAGCAGTGCACAGGGTACTCTCTTCTAAGCTGAACTTTCTTCCCTGCAGCATGAAGTCTCTGCTTCAGTCCATTCCCCAGTGGCTGCTGCTCATTCCAGCGCTTGGCAGCTACCACCGTGCTCTGTCTTTCCTCCTTCCACTGGGCAGACACTGGCTCAACCGCCAGTGTGACCATCTGCCTGGGGAGATGGGGAGACGCACTCTGGCTGTCCCTGTGGACGCCCTTAATGGATGTTGGCCTCTGTTCTGGGCCATTTCCTCTGGGCCTTGTGCTGTTGGGAGGCCACGGCTCTGCAAGCTCACATTATTTGGCTAAAGCTGACAAAACACAAGAGTCTGCTTTAATTCCCGATGGCATGTAGCTTTGTAGATGTGCTGTAACAGTGCTTCATGCTGCTCCCATTGGTTCTGCATTCCAATCACTCTGTGGGCAGAGAGAGGACCAGGGAGGCAGATCTGCGTCCAGTCCTGTTGTCCTGTTTTCAGCTCAGGAGGCTCGAGTGGGTTTCTCTCTGTAAATGTAAAATTCAACAATTGTGGGCATTAGCTACTTTTTGTCAAGTCATGAACAAGTTCCCTTTTTGATGTGGTGTTTTCTGAGAAATGAGAATTTGTTGATTTTATCTCTAGATGTGTTAATGAGGGTTCTCTCCCCATTTGCAGGCGAGGCCCAGCTCTGCTAGGTTCTCCTGTTCCATACTGGGCCTCCTAGATCTGGCTGGGGAACCAGTGGAGTGAGGGTGAGAAGCCTGGGAAGCTCCCCAATACTTTCAGCTCCCCAAAGTGGGTATGGCTCACCACTGGTCCACTCCCGCTTGTTCTTTACTTGTTATTTCTCGCTATCTTACAATGTACATTTTCTGTCATTTTTGCTTCTTGTTAGAATTCTCTTTTGAATATTTTCCTCAGATACGGCAAGTTTTATATACTTGTAGTAGACTTTCCAGAGACTAAAGCCAATAGAGAGGAGCAAGATGGCGACAGGGAGATGGAATCCTCATGGTATCGTTTCTCTGGTTCCTGGACCGCTAAGCTTTATAAGCTAATAATTCCCTTCTTGACTCAAGTTAGTTTCATTTTAGTTTCTGTCATGAAAGAATACAAGCTATTACTATACACGCACACACACACACACGCACATGAATTATCCTGCTAATTAATTAAATAAACATTAGTCAACCTTCCAGTTTGATTACAGAACAGTGCTAGATGCAGGAGGAGATGGAAAATAATATAAGATCCATTCCTTCCTCTCAAAAAAGTTATGTTTCTGTTGGTGAGGCAAGATATATTTCAGATTACAGAATACAAGATTCAAATAGAAAGATCACTTCAGAAGAGGTGCTCAAGATCAGAATATGAATCTTCAAGGAATGGACTTGTCTCTTCAGGTTTTAGAATAATAACAATGGCTAGTTCCAGAGAGTAGAATTGAAAGTCATTTTTCACCTAAAGAACTTATAGAGAATCATAAAATATCCAGAATTTGGAGAGACTCAACACCCTTATTTTTCTGCAGAGAAAACTGAAGTTCAGGATAGAAAATGACCCAGGCGATTTCCCCTGTAAATAGTCAGCAGACCTGGGACTCAGCCCTGGCCGTCTGATGTCCGGCAGAGTGTGATAGCACTCTGCTTGGCTTTAGGCTCGTGTTTCAGCTGTTCAGATATAATCCAAGCACCCTGATGCAGGTATCCAGCTACATAAATGATCGAACCATTGCTGAACTTTTATATTTGTGATTAACATCACCATCATCATTATCATCAAATAATTACTAAGCACTAGATTATGTAAATTAAGTCCAATCTCTGTGTTATGAATTTGCAGGAACATTACATTTATTCTGGGCATTGTATTAGTTTCCTAAGGCTGCCATAACAAAGTACGACGGACTGGGGGCTTCAGTGACAGAAATTTATTTCCTCATAGCATTGGAGGCTACAAGTTTGAGATCAAAGTGTTGGCCGGGTCAGTCTCTTTTGAAGCCTCTCTCTCTAGCTTGCAGACGGCCGCCTTCTCCGTGTATCCTCACATGGTCTTCCCCCAGTGTGTGTCTGCGTCCTGATTGATCTCCTCTTCTTAGGAGGACTTCAATCACATTGGGTTAGCTTTTCTACCGCATTCAAAGATCCTATTTCCAAAAACAGTCACATTCTCGGGTACTGGGTGTTAGGACATAAACAAATGAATTTGGGGAGGGCAAAACTCAGTCCATAATAGTCATTTAAAATTTTCAAAATAACATCAAAAAGAAACAAAAAAATATTAAACATCACAAGAGAAAAACATTCCAAATTTAAGGGAAAAAGTAAAAAAGACCTCTTTCTGGGCCCATGAAGTGGTACTTCCTACACTGGGGATTTCCCCTCTGCACACAGTAATAGCCCTACTCCCCGACCTAAACCCTTCAAGCTGCAGCCCGATGCTTTTTTGCTCTGTCAGCATCCAGTTGACAAGAACTGGCCATCACCCACTCACAGATACCCAGGAGCACAGGAAAGTCGCAAGGCAGCACACAGCTGAAACTGACAGGCCGTGGAGCCTTATCTCCTCTCAAGTGGTATTGTTGTTGTCAAGGGAATAGCATTGTATATATTAATTAATATATATTATATTAATAGATTATTAGTAGATTATGTGCTAACGATTTATTAATATATGATGTTAGTATAATATAACACTATGTCATTAATAACTAATATATAATATTACTTAACATGATTATTATGCCATTATATTATATTAATATATTATATTATGTTATATTAATATATAACTATTTTTAATATCTAGTATGGCATATATTATATAATATGCGTTAATATATTATATATTTCATATATAATGCATTTAATTACTGTATATTAGTATTCAATATATAGTAATTTTGCATTATTTTATATTATATGTAATTATATTTATAATATACTATACATAGCAATATGTAATTTTATATAATATATAATAATCATGTATTAACATATATATTAATACACACAATATATTAATATATGGCACATTAATATGAAGAATTACTATATATTTAATATATTATATGGCATATTTATATATGATATATTATATATAATTCCATATATTCTATATTGATATATTACATGTATTAATATATTATATGTAGTGTGCTGTATACTAATACATAGTAATATTTTATGTTTCAGTTAATATATTAATGTATAATATATAATTACTATATATTAATCATATATTTGTCTCTTCAAACACTCTACCTGTGTCTTTGAGTGTCTCTATGTTGACTATGAACATAGATTTGACCCTGAACAAGGCACTGAGCTTTCCTGAGCCTCTCTGAACCTCAACTTCCATCTTTTCAAAATGAGGACAATATCTGCCTGCCCGTTAAGAAGAACAGCTGTGGCAGTGGTCAGTGTGACACAGGGTTGTAACCTATAAAATGCAAATCGCATAATAAAGACACTTTCCTACCCAGCAATTACTGATGTGGAGCCCTGTGGCAACGTGGGGCTATCTTGCTGCAGAGGGAATCACGGCTCCATTTGTTACAAAGGGCTCATGATAGATGTATCCTGCAGATAGCATAGAAACTCTGTAAAGAAAAATCATAGTTGAATTTAAACTAGGTATGCAATCTCATGTTGCCCCATGACTTCTAAAACAAGTGTCAATTATTTTACATTTTGTTTGGCTGTTCTTGGAGAGGGCTGTTGTCAACACTTGCACCATAATGAAGCGAGGGAATCCAGGTAGTTTTGTTTGGGAAATTAGAAGCTTGAGATTTGTAAAGAGGAAAAAATAGAGCGAGAGGGAATGTGTTAGCCGAAAATCTCAGTGAGAATTGGTAATTTTCTTGACTGCTCTCACGGCAAGTGCTTACAAGCCTGTCTGTCTTCCTCTGAGCAGCTTTCAATAGAAGATACAACATGTCCATTTGCCACCAGTGAGATTAATTAGTTTCTAACACAGAACAGAAATGGAGCAGATGGGATTTAAGGTCAATAGGCTATTAAAATGGAGATCTCTGAAGAAATAAAATCGTGTAAGAGGTTCCCAGTATTATATTCATTAATTATATTACCAATATAATCAATAGCTACTGACCTCTGGTTACTGTCTGCATTGAGCAGGAACTGATGGGCCCATGTTATGCGGTGCTTCTAGTGCTGACACTGCAGTTCCCATGTTGGAAAGAGACGTTTGAGCTCATAAGGTTACACAGCTTGCAGGTTGTCTCTTCTTCCCCAGCAGCCACTTCAAGTGCTAGCTTGAAGAAAGGGCCAGACTATACCTTGGGTCTAAATGGGAAGAAACCAGAACTTTTTATTGGTATTAGAATTGTTCAATTGAATGTAATTGATTTGTTAACTATTTTTGTTGAAATGGAAAGTATCAACTTATTTAATTTAAATAAATACTATTTAATATATGCATATACATTTGTAACCATTCAAAGCAGATATTTTGATCATAAAATATTTTATAATACAGGCATACAGCAAAAGAGGAAAAAAGTATTCACCAGTCACATCTGTATCTTGATCCTATTCCCCTTCTGTGTTTTCTCCTTATCAGTGGAGTTGATTGCAAAGTCCATTTTTCACTAAGTTTTGCAGAATAGAGAGAAGGAAGAGAAGATCCTCCAACATGACCTCCTTTGGGCAAAATATGGTCATCACAATTTTGGAATATTTTGGCTACATAGTGTCACCCACTAACTTTATGACTTTTCTGCCACCTTCCTCTCTCTCAGAGCTTTCTTGAGCATCGCAGAACCTGGGCACAGGGAGGCCAGAGTCAGCGAGTCTACAGGCTGGATGTTACAAAGGTTTCCAGAGTAGGGGAAATCAAGAGCACAATGTGACGTCAGCCTTTCCGGAGCCTCAAGGACATTCAAAGGCTTTGTTTTTCATTCAGCTATTGAGCTACTGAGAAACACTTCAATCCTGTATCCTCAAAACACTAGCAACAAAGGCTGAGTGTGAGCATGGTTTATATTTCTATTTAAAATGTACATTTTAGACACACGAATATGCTAAGATTCTGTCGGGCAGAATACTCATGGGTCTGGGACAGCATGCTGCCCACTCATGCTAGACGACTTTGTCCAATAGACTGGTCATCTGGAAGCAACACATGGCACATGGTAGGCAAGGCTGCTCATTCAGAGTACATCTATCTACATCAAATAAACAATAAGAAGATCAGAAAAGGAAGACTTTTTGGTGCTAAGCACATTGAGAATAGTCAACAGCCCTCGATAAAGATAAAGTTACAGATGCATATTTCCATAACTATGCATTGCTGATCAAAATTATCTCCCAGTAGAGAACTTCAAAAGTAGATTTATTTAGAGATATCTTTTCTGTAGGAATATATTTCTTCTACTGTAGAGAAATAAATATTAAATGCAGTCTAATGGAACTGCAGTGGGGAAACAAACCACTAGGGAAAAGGAAAACCCAGAATGGAGAATAGATTTGGGGTTTGGGCTTCTCAGATGAAAAAAGGAGGGCCAGCCCCTTTCTTTGAGTGGTATCTGTCTGGCATCTGCTTTATTTCATTCTCAAAGTGAGACCTGAAGGAATAGAAGAGTGATTACATGTTAATAGGACTGCACAAGAAAGCCTTATCTAGAATGGCACTTTCGTCGGGTTGGACTGTGAAGGGGGTATTCTTTATTGCAGTCAATTCATTTATATTTTAAACATCTGCTAGACTACAGTGAAATGAACTCCCTCTTAATCATCACTATCGAGAATGAATAAATATATGCATTTATCTTGCACACAGTAATTGGCTGTGAAGCTTTCAGCAATCCTTTCATTAGGGTGATGAGATCCAAAAATAGATGCCAAGTACGTTTATTGGAAACTAATAGACTCACCTGAAATGTGAAATATTCCTGTAAATGTAGTGGTTTGCAGAGAAGTGTGTGTGTGCGCACGTGTGTATGTGTGTGTGTCTGTGAGTAGTGGAAAGGAAGAAAGCAAGCACTAATTTGTTCTTCCACCACCTTAAGTCCTTCTTTAGAATGAAGATGCGTATTCAGTGTAATTCATCCTCTTTGAGATAATTGCAGACAGGGTTTCTCCACTCTTTCCTCTAATGCAGGTCTAGTCTAGTCTCATTTCTGAGAGCTGCTCAAGAGCTGTCAGTCCTCAGAAGGTTTCCACTGCCTGCCATTTAGGTAATACTGCATCCCTGTCTTTCTCCTTTTTGTATAGTCTTAGATTAGGCTTTGGTTAATTATAATTGGATATTTAGAGCTTGACTGGGGTCCTAGTAGGAGAGGTAGTGTGGTAAGCAGGATTTTGGTCTCCATCACCCCCCACTCAGCCACCTGTGGTTATGTTACTGTGGCAACAGAAAAACAAATACAGATTTCAGTACCTGGAAGTGGGGTACTGCTGTAACAAATATCTAAAAAATGTGAATATGGCTTTGAAATAAGGCAGTGGCCAGAGACTGGAAGAATTTTGAGGACCATGATAGTAAAAGGCTAGACTACCTTGAACAGTCTGTTGGTAGAGATTTGGATGTTAAGAACTCTGGTAGTAAGGACTGAGAGGAAGTGAAGAGCATTGTAGAAAATTCCTAAGTTCTCTTAGAAAGTGACTAAGTCACCACAAAGAAACTGTTAACAGAAACCTAGACTTCAAGGAGGCTGCTGGTGAGTGCTCAAACTGGACTTGGAGAACGCTGCCTGTGAGGGCTCAGAAGAAAGTGAGGGAATGATATGGGAAACTGGAGGAAGAAGATCCACGTTATATATTTGCAGACAGCTTAGTGAAATCATGTTCTGCAATTATGTAGAAAGCAGAACTCGTAAAAAACAAACTTGGTCATTTAGGTGAGGAGATTTGCAAGTCAAGTGTTGAAGGTGAAACCTGGCTTCATCTTGCTTCTTAGAGTAAAATATGGGAAGGGAGAGACAAATTGAGGGAAGAACTTTTCAGCAAAGAGGAACCAGGACGCATGATTTAGGAAATTGGCAGCCTATCCAGATAGCAATAGCCACAACAAAGGAGAAATTCACTGTCAAGAACATGTATTCTGGAGAAAAGCCAAGAGTGAAGCTATAAAATCTTTTGCTGGTGCCTCAGAAAGATCAAAAATCTTGACTGTATTTATCAAAATGTGATTATTAATTTAGTAACAAAACTTTTTTGTAAAAGAGTGAGAATGTGTGAAGTTAGTAATTTCAACAAATTAAGGAGGGATAAGTGCAAAAGTTAACATTATTGTGTCCATAACATTGAAATAAGTGAAGCCCACAGTGCAACTTTTGCCAAATAGAACAGAGTCCGTTCAAGACCAAGACCTGTCTCTTTCTCTCAGCTGCCCGGGTATTGGCTCCTTCCTTGTGCTCATAGCACTAAAATGTGAAAGACTATGTGCAAATGAGAGGATCTGAAATGGAAGTAGAGCCAACCAGAACCGGGAAATTTCATCATGGGGGAAGGAATTTTAGAAGGGGCTGTGATGCAAACAAAGAGATGATTTAAGATGTATGTGAAATGATTACATGGGCCTGCAGGCTCAAGTGAGCCCATGGGTACTGCTGATCTCTTGCCTTTTCTATGATTTGAATCAGGTGAGTATAAGAAATAAATAATATCATTACATATCCATATATTTTTGCTTCTTCCACTTGTTAGCAATGGGTGCTACCAAGAAGGACCTCAGGCTAGCAAGAGGACAAAGGTTCATTCTACTGGTGTTGCATGTAAATCATCCTGGGATTGATACTCTCTGGATAGTTGGGGCTTAGAATGTGTTTCTGCAACTTTTGAGATGATCACATGGTTTCTTCTTTTTATTTTGTTAATATGACAAATTATATTGATTGATTTTTGATATGAATCAACCTTACATTCCTAGGATGAGCCTCACTTGGTTGTGATGTATTATATATTTTTATGTCCTGCTAGCTTGACTTTACAAATATTTTGTTGAGAATCTTTGTGTCTATGCTCATGAAAGATATTAGGGTGATGCTGGACTCTTATTAAGGGGTTGGGAAACGTTTCCTCCTCTTCTATTTTCTGGAAGATGTATAGAATTAATAGTATTTCTGCCTTTAAATGTTCAGCAAAATTTACGAGTGGAACTTCTGGGCTTGGGTTTTATTTTCTTTGGAGAAAAAAAAACTTGCTTTTACAAGTTTTTAACTAAAAATTCACTTTCTTTAATAGATATGGAATTATTTGGATTACCTATTTCTTGGGTGAGTTTTGGTAGTTTGTGCCTTTCAATAATAGGTCCATTTCATCTCAGTTGTCAAAAGCATAGGTATGGAGTTATTTGCAGTGTTCTTATTAGCTTTTTAATGTCTGTGGGATTAGTATTAAAGTCTTTCATTCTTGATATTGGTAATTTGCATCTTCTGTTTTACCTCAGCCAATTTGTTCAAAATGTTATCAATTTCATTGATCTTTTAACGAACTAGCTTTTGGCTCAATGATTTTTATCTATTTTTTTCAGTGTCATTTAATCTGCTCTAATCTTTATTATTTTCATTCTTCCATTTGTTCTGGGTTTAATTTCCTCTTCTTTCACCAATCTTTTTAGATGGAAGCTTACGTTACTGATTTCAGACCTTTCTTCTCTTAGGATGTAAGTATTTAATGCTATAAATTTCCCCATAAGTACTGATTTGCTGTATCCCATAAATTTTGATAATTTTCATTAGCTTAAAATATTTTTAATTTCTCTTGAGAGTTCTTCTTTGCCCCATTTTTTAAAAGCACATTGTTTTATTTCCAAATATTTCGAGATTTTCCAGCTATCTGTCTGCTATTGATTTCCAGTTTAATTTCATTATGGTGTTAGAACAACTATGTATGATTCCTAGTCTTCTAAATTTGTTGACGTTGTTTTCTGTGGCCCAGAATGTGATATATCTTGGTGAATGTTCCCATGTGCACTTCAGAGTAATATCTATTCTGCTATTGTTAGAGGGAGCGTTCTATAGATGTCAATTGGGTCAAGTAGGTTGATAGCCCTGTTGAGGTCATCCATATTCTTACTATGTTTTTTGCCTTCATATTCTATAAATTATTGATGGAGGAGTGATGAAGCCTCCAAATATAATTGTGGATTTGACTATATTCTCCTTTCAGATCTATCACTTTTTGCCTATGCATTTTGAAGCTCTGTTGATAAGTGCATAAACGCATATCTCCTTGTAAAATTGATCTCTCTATCATTATGTAATAACCTTCTTTATTCCTGATAATATTTCTTGCTCTGAATATTACTCTGTTAGAAATTAATGTAGATACTCTAGTTTTCT